GATTGTTGAAGACTAAAGTCAACTTGCAAGGCACAAAGAGACAAATACCAGCTGTTCCCGCTTATTTGTTGGTCGTGTAGAGGAGGCGACTGGAATAGTGCTCCTCGGGGACTGGAGAGGGAAGAGGAGAGGAGAGTAGCTGCCTAAGGGTCATCAGAGCTCAGTCTGGTGTTCCACAGCCTGTGTTCCTGCTGTGTTAGTACGAAAGCCATGATCCCATCCTCTTCCTAAAAATATTTATTCCCTGACATGAATGACAAATGCTGTCATCCCAGTCGAAGGTTTTGAGAAAACTTAATAGATGTTGGAAAAACTAGCCTAATTTCCCAGAGACAGCAACACTGGAAAGCTATCAGATATTGTGTATGCTTGTGTTCCATTTATTTTACTTGCCTAAATTTCATGTCTATTTAAAATGGACCATGTTAATTGTATAATCTAATCTTCAAATTCATTATTCATTTTTGTATGTCAGGAACCTTAGAATTATCAATAGCCTCCCCAACTTTAGCAATGTCTCCTATCAGAGCTGCTCTGGTGAATGATGTGTTTTTAGCCAAATCTAATTTATTACTGGGGACAAGAAAGTTTCCTCCTCTTTCAGGGATGTCTGACTGGGTTCCCATCCCCCCTCTGTTTCTCTGCACCTGGGCCTCCTCTGTCCCCATTCTTTTCTGTCTCTGTGGGTCATTTTATCAACTGCATGGCCGAGAATTGTAAATATTCCCTGTGTTTCTCCATGGAGTTGCTGTTTTCTCACTTATTTTTCTATTTTGTCTCAGAGCAAGAAAGTTTCCCTCCTTCACAGGGCCCTAGCAGAGGATCGTGCACCGGGAGCACTTGTAGTTCACTGAAGCACAAACGCTAATGTTCATATATACATACATACATCTGTCTCTCTCTCTATATATATCTCTCTATATATCACTCTGAGAGGATGACCTAGGAGGATCCCTCCCTGAGAGCAAGTCGAATAGATTGGCGTTTTCCACAGTTATTTCAGTCTTGGTTCTATAACTATAAGCGCAGTGACTGTAACTATTATTTTCCTGAACTATGATGTTGATTTTACAAGCTCAGCTTTTTGTATTGTTCTTGATAAATCTCCAGTGTCCACAGATTTTCTCTATAAATTTTCCCCTCTCTTTCTTGCTCTTTGAATTTCATGTTCATAACCGCACAGAAATTCACCTAAAATGCTGAAGTTGATTTTGGGAAAGGATAGCCGCCTGTGGGAAACACCAGGAGCTCACATCCTACCAGACGTGGTTAGGTACAGCTGCACAGAAATTAAAACACCACGTGGTCTTGTGTGGCTGAGGGTGTATTAGTACTTTAAAAAGGAAGTGAACATCAGCTCTTCAGAATTAATCTCAGTGCTCACGGTGTTCGACAGTGCTCCCTCACCCCCTGAAGCACTTTCTCCTGGACTTCTGCTTGGCTTGGTACTGCACTGTTCTCCCTACCATAAACTTCATGCTTCTTGAAAGAGCTTTCCGCATATGCTGGCGTCCAATTTCCCCTTTATCCTCCAGCAATCCACCCCATACTTCCTGTCAAAGAAACAACTACCAGCAAACCTAAAGCAAAGCATTCAGCTCATGGCCCCTGCAATCCAAAGTGGGCTGAGCCTTTCCTCTCTCCCTGTTAAGGACTCTCCTTGAGATCTACAAGAAATAGCTGTTTCCTACCAAGATCACCACTCAGCGGAAATGGTGGCCCTCAAAATGTGGACCCAGGCTCTGCACCACTGCCATTGTGTGGGAACTTGGTGGAAATACAGTGCAGACCCTGCCCCACCGCAGACCTACAGAATCAGAACCTGGGAGAGGGGCTCAGAGCGACGTGCTCCAAGCCCCCTGCTCCACGATCATGGTGGTGTCTCCATTCGACTAAGGCAGATCCCAACAAAGAGAAGGAAAAGGATGGAAGGAGACATAGAGAGGACAAGAGGATGGATGTCTAACAATAGGAAAGGGGTCCAAGAGAGCAAGGGAGAGGGGTGAGGGGGAGTGGAAGGGGAACTAGGTAGAATAAAGATGTCCCATGGACAGGAACTAGTAACGTCCAAGAATGTAAACAATATGTGCCATAGCATGAGCTAGGATTAGTAATACCAACAAGAATGAAAATGGGGAGGAGGGAATTAGAGGAGGGAAGGGGGATGAAAAACAATCATGCATTATGTGCTTGAACCATGTCCCCAGGACGATTGCAAAATGCATGCATGTACTGCACATGGACTAAGAAAATTAAAATTTAAAAAATATTAGCATTTGAAAAAAGATCCTGATGCCCAGTGGATCTGAAAACCACAGCACAGAACAGTATGGTTCTCATGTTTCTGTGTCTTACTGGAAACCTTTTGCATTTTCTGCTAAAAATGCCTCCTCCTCCCAACATGTTCCTTTTTGCTTTTCTTCAATTCTGTCTCCTAACTCTATTCTGGAATTTCCATCATTCAGAGTAAATTCTCAAGAACAACTCCACATTTCTCCCATAGAGTCAGTTGCTCACTTCAGAATGCCTATTCTC